ATTTACTTTAATAGAGTAAATAAGAAATATTTAATCAATGAATACTCAAGCAGGCTTATTATAAAAAAAATTCAACAATTTTTACTGAGATAGAGTATATCTTAAACTAACTTTTGTAATATCAATTTTATGTCAATACTGGGTATTTACATCACAAGATTATCATTATATTTTACCTTTTACTCAATGTGATCTATAACCTAGATCCTTGCACATTTTTTTTAAAAACAGCTCCTGAAACTTGTGCATGTGGTGCAAAGCTTTTTTTTTTACACATTACTTTCATGTGACACACCTCAATATAATTTTCTGCACAAATATTTACTTTTAATGTTATACAACCCTTTTTAATTTTGTTTTACTCTGTTTACATTTGATGGAAAACTTTTTCCATTGTTTTACACTTTGCAAAGTGATCGTCTGTTTGACATAATTTTTGGATTTATTTAAAATTTCATCAGGCATTCCTTGCAATATATCCATTTTTAACATTTGCTCAAATCGGTTATGTGTTGTATGGCTCTATACGCTGGGTCACTTAATTATTAATATTTACATTTAAACTGTCAATGCTCAATTTTTAGTTAGAATGTTTATCAATTTATTTTTTTTATGGTAACATCTGTACCTATTGACACATGACTTATGCTAATTTACTGTTTATTATATTTTAAATTTTATTATAAAGCAGTTCAGCCACAGAGAAATTAAATTTAATGTCAAAATGTGCAATGAATATTGCTAAAAAAAATCTTTTTGTTGTGATCTTTTTTATTCTTTTTAAATTGCCATTTCATCTTTGACTTTGATGCAATCCCGCACTTGTGATCATATTCAATGTACAATTTACATATTTCAAAACTTAGAATAATTATGAGTGCAGTGAGTTTACATTTTTTGAGTGTCAAAAATGCTTAATAATTGTATGCGATTTATATGGATTTAATGTTTCAATAATTCAATTTAGGATGAGCCTATTATAAAATGACTGACATTCAACTACAAAGCTGATAAATTTTAAAATGTAACATTGAATTAAAGCTGTCATTTTGTAGACTGGTTTTTATTGTTTATGTGATATCAATAGTACTGTGCATCTATTTTTAAAGATATTTTATATCACTCGGATGTTACATCATTGACAGAGAACTTTGAATACCGGTAATTAATGTGTATGCCAAATGTTAAGAACTGTTCACCTTGTCCACACAGCTGCATTCATTATACAATGCTGACATGTCCAATTAAAGAATGAGCAAGTAAATTGTACATTTGATGTCATGAGACAGTGAAATACCCTATTGATATTTTACACATTTTAACTACTGTGTCCATTGGTGAAATCAGTTATTCCTTTTTTTAATAATACGTACTAGATATTTAACAATGTTTTTAAAAGATGTGGCTGAGATAAATACAAGCTATAGTTACAATACAATTTCATTTTACGATGTAAACATTTGAGTATAAATTAAAATTGACATTATATGTATATATATAATAAATTATGTAAATTTAATTTATACTCATTGTTGTACTGATAAAGGCATTTGCCAAAACATTTAAATTTGTTATGTGTAGCAATAATTAAAGCTTAACATATGTTTTATTTACACAATTTGTTCGTGTCTCATTAATTTACTTGAATATTACAGTCCAACACTCTTATAACCATCAAGGAAGATGGTTCCCCCCCCCCCCCCCTTTCCCACCCTCTGGTTCGTCATACCTGGCCTCCTTTCGTCACCTCAAATGCCTCACTGACACTTCAACCCTATTCCCTTAAGAGGAGTTTACTTAAACCAAAGGAGTAGGGCCTATAGTATAATTTATTAGGCTAATAAAACTTTTAATTTGTCAAAACTTATCACACACAAAAAGAAATAGCAGCAAACAAATTAAGTTTGGGATGACAAAATAAAAAGTAGGATCAACGAAAATGTGAATTAAAATAAAGTTTATTCTGAGTGTTCACAATCAATGTTAATTGTTTTAAATACAATATTACCCACAATATTCAATATAGTTCCAGAAGGCAACCATGTTAGTAAATTTATTTGGCATATTGAAATATATTGTGTAGGCCTACAATGCAAACTTGTGCAATTAGTATTAGTGTGATTTAGATGGCTGGGACAAAAGTACATGTCACTGAAATTAAGGGTTTGATTCATAAAAATAGATTAGGTTAGGTATAGAGAGCTGTGCCAAGCTAAGCCCTCTCTGAAACCATGTTTATTTTAAAAAAATTTTTGTCTGTGAACTATACTGCCGCACTTACTTGTGGAAGCAACCAATTATATTTTGTTGTCACCACTTGAAAGAGATTGCAAATATTAATAACACTGCCTTGTGTTCTTTTTTTATGTTTTTATAAGAGGAAACTCAGAATTTTGATTGATGAATTGATTGTTTTTATGGAAACAAAATTATAATATGATTAGGGCATTTGATTTTTTTTTTATGTTATGGGACAAAATTCCAGCAAAAATAAACTAGAATTGGATAGTTAATATACTGCAGACACAGATGATGAACTGTTCTCAAAGGCGACAAAACAACAGCAGTCAGTAGGGCCTATTCTAAAGTAGGCCTATTCAAATGATATAATATAACAATATCTCATAGTGATAGTGTCATACTCATACATAGGCCTATATCCCAATTAGAATTAGAAGTAATTATAATAATAATACTACTACAAAGTTTGTTTAAGATTAAATTGTAGTTAAGGGGGGAGGTACACCCTGAACACAGGTTGACTACTAAAAAATTCACACAAAAAAACTATTTAATTTACAAGTGTCAAATTTTCACTGAAGCTAGACGAATGGTCATTCTACCATAATAACACATAAAATAACCATTAGTAGTGCAACATAATAGTTTGCTAACATTGAAAAAAAAAAAAGAAAAGAAAAATGGAATGCTGGAAACAGGCATGTCAAACAAAAAAAATTAGTTAGAATGTCTTAAGCTCAAATTTGTTACAATTTTTTAACCATACAGAAATATGGATTAGCTTTGGCGACAACTAGGAAAAATTTAATTTATTGAATACTTTTTGTATCAAAGCATCCCAAAGTATCTTAATTTTGACATTTTAAAATCAAACTTTGAAGGATTGTAAAATGTGTACTTATTAATATATTGGAATATCCTTAGTTCCTGACATAGGTAAGTATGTAATATAGCATCTTGCAAAATTTGAAACAATGATATAATATAACAATATCTCATAGTGATAGTGTCATACTCATACATAGGCCTATATCCCAATTAGATATTTTAAAAAGTTATCATTTTTAATGTGAATTAAATGTCGAAATTTTGTGAATGAACGCGCAATAATTTTGTTCATTAAGTAAATAAATTTTATAATTTTAATGACCCCCCTGAAAGATAAGGAAGTAATTTAGCTTCAACTTTTGACTCTTCTAACCCAAATTTAAGCCTTCTTCTGGTTCTTCTGGTTCTTCTATGTTCTAAGGACTTATTCATTTGTTTTTTGTGCCTTCGATATCCGCTTAGCAGCCATCATAATGAAATAATTCAACGTAAACTGTCCAAAGGAAAGCTGCAAAATCTTAGAGGAGCCTCCAATACTTTGGATCCATCATTGAAAAGAAGGGTTGCTAAGTCAACACCAATGTGGGCAGCTCTTAAACCATGATATTTGTTCTTAGGGCACATTTTCAATATAATATTATTCATCGATTCGTTCGCATGTTGGGTATAAATATCTAAAAATTTACTAAAAAATAATTGGATTGTAAAGGTCTAAAAAGATTGGCCTAATTAAATTAATTTCTGCTGATTGATTCCCTGTTATTATAATTTTTAATGCTTATAAATTATAAGCATTAAAAATTAATGAAAGGATTTACAGATGTCTTAATTTTCACTTTAATCTAAATGAGAACCATTTACTCCACACATTCACATGTCTATCAATTTAATTTCTGACTTGTTCTGGGTGGGCGTGGCATTTGGTGTTATCAAGACCACTAAATTTTAATTTTAGTCAAAGTCAAAGTCAAGGAGTAAGTCATTTTCAACGATTCAATGGAATCAGATTGTTTTAATAAATTTATTTCATTTAAAATATCCTCATTGGGTCCAATATTAGGCTTAGTATAGCTATTGTCATGAAACACTCGTTTCTTTGAATATTTGTTATCACTAGGCATTGTATAAACAAATAATAAAAAATATTAAAACAATTTTAATATTAACAAAAATGTTTTGTTTATTTCCATGGAAGCCGCCATATTTGAAGGACTGATCATTGTATTAAACAATTATTAGGGAGGACATCCTTGTTTTAATACAATTGAGATAGAAAAAGTATAAGGATTTTTTTTTTTTTTTTTTTAAATTCTGATACACCCCCCTTCTAACAAAAAATTCATATCTCAATAATTATTGCTTTTTTTTTTTACTCTTTTGTTTTGGCTTTTTTAAAATTTTGTTTTTTAAAAAGTATAATGATTTTTTTTTTTTTTTTTTTTTAAATTCTGATACACCCCCCTTCTAACAAAAAATTCATATCTCAATAATTATTGCCTTTTTTTTTTACTCGTTTGGTTTGGCTTTTTTAAAATGTTGTTTTTGGCAACCATAACGGTAAACCGAATGACTTGGACAATTGTTTTTCTAATTACTTAATTAATGTTAATATTATTTCTCTCAAGAAGTCACAACAAAGAAGAATGCTACCACCACTTCTTCAGTAAAAAAAAATTATGCTGTATAAAAAGTTTTATTTATTTTAAACTTGTCTTAAATCGAAATCGGAACTAATCCTTTATTAACATATATAAAAGTGCCTCGAGTTTAGTCGTAGTAGTACTATAGTACTATGTTAAGCTTACCACAAAAGTCCGGACACAAAATCGTCAAAGTCCATTGTCACTATTGTCTATATTAATTATGCATTACGTTATAAGCTTCGGGAATGCCCAAACGTTAAAAATAACTTTTCTAAGAAACCCCGTCAACACTGAAACTGCAACTTTTCCCATACTCATACGAAGACAAACTGGATTCATTTCTACAAAATAAATTTATTACCTCCCAAACAAAGGTACCGTATTGCAGCCTTATATTTTAAAAAATATGTGTCATTAACTGAGTCTGTAGTGTAGCCTACTTTTAAACTTTTATTTTAATTTGTCAGACTTTCTGTCTTTGAGATTTTGACTTTGACATGTAAAAACTTCCACTTCCAATTCAATCATCATTCAATGATTGATTCAATGCCAAAAGTAAAGTAAGTGAGCTAAAGTGTGGCAGTGGCAATCAGCCGCCAAGTCAACTCAAACTACTCAAAGTCAGTCTTTTTCTTTCACTTTCAGTACTCTTTTTTTAAAGTCTTTACTAGTTTTTACCGTTTACTACAGACTACAACCTTTAGTAGGCTAGTATGTAATTTTAAGACTTGGAGTTGGAGTTTAGAGTAATAGTTCTTACTGAACTGAGTTATTTGTAAGAAATTGAAGTATTTGGAAAAAAATATTTAACCTTACAAAATAGGCTCTTTGTCTTTCTTAGCTACTCTTAAACTTAAGACAGGCATGTTTAATTTCAATATGTTAATGTTGTTGTCATTTGTTGTGGCAGTTGGTGGAGATATTGCAGGAAATTTCAAATAGCAGATAGTTGTAAGATTGTAGGCAACTACTAAATTCCACTCAGAAATTCAAACACTTGTAATAAAACGCATTGAATGAGCAGTTCAGACCTGTTTACTCGTACAATTTTGGCGTACAATGTACGATTTTGAGGTGTATACATTGTATATACTGATGTTTAATTTACTGTTAAGATAATGTATTGATTGATTTTGTGATGATATTGTACGATTTTAAGAGTTTGAGGGTAAACAGGTCTGGCAGTTACGTTACTTTGTAAGTTTAATAATTGTTTTATCAAGTAGGCCTACATGGTTAATTGACACTTAACAACTTTAAGTAGACATACTGTCTGAAAACATGTTACTTGTGGCTAAAGTGTCACTGGAAAACAAAAGTATCTTGGAAACATGTCATGGCTTGTTCCACTTTGATAATGCAATTTCTGCTTGACCTGCACCCAAAGTCCTTCAATAGTAATAGTGTTACGTACCGTTATCAGTATGAAGAAATTGATCTTTTATTTATTTAAATGGCTCGTTCTTAAACAGTACACAACAAAAGACAATACCATAGGCATAGGTTAAATACTGTAACAAAGAAAACGATACCCAAACTAGGGCTAATTGCAATTTAATAATTTAATTATGTTAATTATAATAAATTACAAAATCAAAAAGAAATATAATTAAAGCTATCGACTTACAGTATAATGATTGGCTTGTACCGGTACAATGTTGAAGAAGATAAAATGTTGTAAAAAAGGTACAATGAGGAAAAGGAATCTACACACATATTAAACAAACCTCTGTCTCGTAGCAAAAATTCTAGCCAAAATAACACAAAAATATCTCTTGTCTTATCTGGCTCCTGTCGCCCAAGGGCTTTATACAGCCTGTTTCATAGATACTTCTATAAAAGATTATGCATTCTATTCCCGTCCTGATGCTTCTAAATAATTCTACAGAATTCTAATAATAATCCAGACCATAGATTTTAGTTAGTTGAAACCGAGGTCAAGGGAGACTATATTTAATTAGCCATACCCTAATAGCTCTGCCAAACTAGGGGTCAGCTTAAGTTCATTCACCAGAAAAGATGAAAGAAAAGTAAACAAGAAGCCTATAACTATAGTCTGTGTGTGGATTTATGGGTGTGGATAGCCAGCCCATGTATCAGTATCTGGATGTACATGAGCAGTTGTAATGTTAATGTGTTCAAGTTTTGGTGCATTTCTCCATGCTACAATTTTCAAAAAATTTTGAAACTTACCGCAATTATTACTGTTTTGTATTAGATGGTATTTTGCAAGCCACACTAACCAAAGTATGCTGTCATGCGTGCTGTCATTCAGTGCCTTCGGTGTTGTGTCGTAAGTTTGCAGAATGTTTCCTGGCAAACCATTATTTGTAAAATGAAATGGTGCTAGCAGTCTGGCGGCCATTGTAATGTTTATTTTATATTATTACAATCAATTAGTCTGCAAGACAGCTGCAAATATTCAGAATCGTAGACATAAACAGTTATGTTACCAATTATGGGCTGCTATTAGGCTGGTAGCCTGGATTTTTCTAACAAAAAGTATACTATATTAAATTTGGGATCGGCGTTTGGAGTAGTGACATAATTTAAGTGTAGGCCTAATAATGGATAAGTTATTGTGCAGGATGTTCTGAACACTGTAACTTTTGTACGCTGTAACATTTTGGTCAGTGGGCCAGATTTTTTTTTTTTTTCCAGAGGGCCAGACCCACTGCCCTAAGCAATCCCACATTAACATTATGCATACATTAGTGTGGCCTAATTTGCCAGAGCTTCCATAAAGTACCATAGGCATAGGTCATTTTTAATTTAAATTAGACAGAAAGTTTACAATAAAGTTAGGCATATAAACATTTTTTAAAGAAATTTATGATCTTGTTACAGTTAAGCTATTAAAGAACAGTGAAAATAAACTTTATTTTAGAAAGGAAATTCAACTGTTTTAATTATCTAATCTATATTAAAGGAAAAGAAGTATTCTTGTTGGTTTTCCTTGGCTGCTGAAAATTATCTGTGCATTAAATGAAACTAACTTTCACTGTTTAAAATTCTCCTGTAGTGGCAGTAGTGAGTATGAAGTTAAAGCAACTTGCTTTGTTTTCCAGATGATTGTCTTTGATCCTAACATTGTCAAGTTTTTAACTGCTAGTTCCCTGATAGTTGGATACTGCAATTCTGCTTCTGCAACCAACTCACACCAGACAAATGCTACAGCATAGTCACAAAGTTTCAATTTCAGATGCTTATTTCCCTGGATATCAACTGCTTCAAGCTAAATAGCACCTTGATTAATTATGGGAAATATACCATTAGGAATGACCATTATTAAATCTAGAACAAAAAATTAAATATCTTTTACAGTCCTGTAGAATCTTTTATAGTATTTTCTGTGCATTTTAAACATGCCTGACTTGATCAAGCTGTTATTTTGTCACATAATTAGGCCTACTGATTGTATGAAAATGCAACATTATCATCATCAATGGTGGTACAGCCCATGTAGTGCTCTGGCCTGCTTCATCACATCCATTCAGGCTGGTCCATGGCTCATTGTCTCGATCATTAGAGCCTAATCAGATGTACTGGTAAATCTGTCTCAACATCTTCAATCCATCTGCCTCTTGTTTTCTGTCAGTGGCAAATAGGGCACATTTCTTATGAAAGCTATCTATAGCATTTCTGTTGAAACTCCATGGAAGTCTTTTTTCTAACTTGTAGTCAAATATGAACTGGTTAAGATAGCCAGCACTCTCCACCAAATAAAGCAACAATTACCATATAGTCCAGTCTTGAGAAAATGAAATACATTCTCAAGAAGTTACCAAAATTGCTCCAAAACTCTTCCTTTTCTTAGCCACCTTTCACAAGTCTGTAAGAATTTAACAGCATGCACCCCCCCCCCCCCCCAATGATTACCAAATCTAAATGATCACTAATTAAGTTGTTATTGTCACTAAGGGAGTTCATTGATGGCTGATTTCTTCTTCTTCTATATATTAAGACCCCACGATCAATTTATTGATCATTTTTGCTCCTATGCATGTAGAGAGGATTTGCAATGTTTCTGTGCCTGGTGCTGATAAGGATATTTCAATGATTACAAGTGCTACTTTGTGAAGGAATCATGCAATGGGCGTTGGAAGGCTTGAGGCAATAGATGCAAATGTGTCTGGAAATATTTTCATAAAATTTTATGAAAAACTCAAGATTTTTAATGTTTTCAATAATGGGTTTATATTTAGTTCATCAGTCAAAATCGACCATGACCATTTTAATCATCGTATTTGTTTTAGTTCTGAATTTGGCTGTGGGTGCTCAAAAGGCTGATTCTGGCATGAAATGTTCTTCAGTAAGCGCAGGGGATTGATGAGACATCTCCAGGTGCAGTGTTCATGTTTTCAATATAAATTTGATATATGATAATTTCTCTTAAACTCAAACTTAATTTTTTCTGTGTGCAGAAATTGGATAAAAGAATGATAAACTACAGATAGCCACATATTACTGAACTAGAAAGGGGAAAATATGGCATCAAATAAGGAATCAAGAAAAATTGTCCTAATGGTGAGTTCTTATGGGTATTTGGTTAGTCTTCATTTTTAGGACTGACCATTCAAAACAAGTTATAAATATGGCAAATACAGTTGTTAAAATTATCAATTAACAGTAGATCACACTTTAGGAATTCATAAGTTAATGCATTAATATTAGTAGCTGGTGGGAGATAAGTTTCAATGGAATTCACACAAAAAACTACACAACAATTTTCCTCTCACTCCCTGAAATGCTTTATTTTATCTTCCATTAGTCATTCAATAAGTCTGTCACCATTAAGGCATTACTTTAAAAAAAGTAGGATATGAAATGTACTAATTTACAACAAAGAGGTTACATAAAGTATGTCATGAGAGGTGGGGGGTGTCTTAGAAAGTGTGACAGTTTTGAGGGGATTGGGGTAAAGATCTTGTGTGAGGGCACACATTTTTTATTTTTTAATATACCGGGTACATATAAAACCTGAAATTGACAGTGATATTGAACTTTCTGTTGTAATTGATGCATTCTGACAGAAGATGTCACTTTTATAAATTTAATAGTAAATAATAAAGTGTGTTTCAGATTAAATTTTAATTAAGTTTTAATATTTAAGGGATTTTTTTGGTTTGAAAGTGTGACATAGTTTGGGGTCTGGGGTCCTTACATTTGTGACAAGAGGGAGGGAGGGGATAAATAATACTGTCAGAAAATAATGTGACATACTTTATGGTTGGCTCCTAAATAAAGAAGCTAAAAAATGTTTTGTTTGTAGAAGAATGCTTAAAGCCTATTTATACATTAATTTGTATTTATGTTTAGCAAACATTTAACATAATTCAAGATTCTTTATATATTCTAACCATTATGGTAAATCAGCATTTTTTTAAAACTGTATATTTCTCAGAATATACCTTCCTCCTATGATGCTGAACTTGTAAAGGACTATATAGAGGGTACTCTTGACATTGATGTTATGGAAGTTAATATTTTTCCATACATCCCAGGGAGAGCTCTTGCTACACTCAAGGATGATCTAAAAGGTTGGAATTGAAAATCCAGATTAATTTATTGTAAAATTTAAATTTATTGAAGGATTTTTCAATTTAAAAAAATTGTTTTGGTATTTAGACTGGTGCCTCAAACCCAATTTATAAAAAATTCCACAGGCCAACTTAAAAACTTTCTTAGTGTTATTTGGGGTGCTGATTCCAAAAATTGCACCCCAAATAACAGATTTATCATAAGAGCTCTAGTTTTTAACACATTGTTGGATTTATGAAAAAATATTTTTCTATTTACTTTCTTTTTATAAAAAAGTCATTGGCATAAAATTGATAAATTAAGGGGACAAAATCAACTTTGTTCTGCTAATTATGTGCAAAATATTTAAATGTCAAATCAAGATATTATTAAACTACATAAACAGCGGCATATAGATTTTATTTTCAACATAAAAGAAATCTGTACTGAGTTTGAAAATAAGAAAAACATTACATAGGTTATTTGGTGCCTTTTTTTGGAGATCAAGATAAGCTATGTGCTCCGCATAATGTATGCAAAGCTTGCATGAAGCAATTGCTCCTTTCGTCGATTGCTTCCCTCCAGACTAGGGGAAAAGAATGTACTTCAGCCTGAAAACAACATTTCATTTCAATAAAGTTTTTTTTAAATAAATGGCAACAAATAATGTTTAATTTCCAATATGTCAATCCCCAGTATAAAAAAAAAAGTCTTTGGAAAGATAATTTACTGTCTTAAAAAAAAACATGTTTATGTGATTTGCCTAGACTTGAAAATTACTTTTTCCCCCTGGTTTACAAAATGGGTACACAGGTATCCTTGATTTTCATGTCTTTGGAATAGTGGAGTTCAATATGAACATTTTGGCAAAACAAAATTGGCCTTCAAGGGAAATATGGTGGTCAGAGGAAAAATGTAAACAATTAAAGCATTAGAAACACAAGATAGATCATTCTACTGCAAATGAATATATGAACTAGGCCTACGTGAAAAAATAGTTTGTAAATGCAAAAACATTCAATAGAGATCAAATATGACTTTATCACAGAGAAGCTGGAATTTTGATGGTCCACAGATCAGAAAATGCGTAATTACCAACCTTTCATAAAATCTATGAATGAAATTGAATTTGAATCAATCTTCTCAGTTTTTAACTGTTCCCGAGTAAAAAAACTTATTGCAATCACTTAGATTGGTGTTCAGAGAACCATAAGTGAAGAGTAAAATAAAAGATTTCACCATCACAAATGCTTGCAATGGCAGCCAGATACCAAAGTAGATGAAATGCATATATGATGGAAATTTTTTTGGAATATTATTCGAGATTGTCCTGGAAAATGCTTCTTATCTTTTGAATTCTTGTGAAAGGAGATTGATTTGTGCAGAATTTTAATACAAAGTCTCCAGTAAATCTGTTCTTTTGGTATAAGATAAGCACATTTTAATGTAGCATACTTTTCTATAATTAATATAATGCTTAAATGTTCAATATCTCAAAAACTAGAACTGACAGGGCAAACTTGTGCTATTTTTGGAATCACCTGATCAAATATACCTAGAGACAAGTCTAACATTGGCCAGTGATACAATTCATTAACTATAAGAATCTTGGTTCGAGAGACAAGATTATCTTAATTGTGGTATATTTAGTTTTTAGAATACCAGGTATTTGCAGTAGTCTCTACTTAAGTAATTTTTTAAAATTTAAATCGTACATGGTACAAACTATTTGGAATATTTGAAAATAATTTAAAATGTGATATAATGTAGATTAACTGTAAAAAAAATAAAAAAAAAGGGAATATCTGAGAAATAAATGTTTGAAAAATTTAAGTACTTTAAACTGCATATGAATGCTAAAAAAAATGTTGATGAATGTGCACTATTAGTAAATAAGATAATGATTAAATTATGAAACTGTAAACTTCCATTAGCCTGAGTATTCACTATATATATGATTGCATATCATTTCACTCTGAGGATTAGATATGCATAATATTTTTATCTTAATACCAGTACTTAAGTTTTATTTTAATCCCCAAACATCAAATTTAAAAAAAAAAAAAATATTTCTGAAATAAGCAATGTATTTATGTATTTGAAAGCAATATTCTAAGGGAAATCAAAATGTTTGATGATTTTAAAATATTTTTTTATGTGAGCTGCTCACATTTTTAAACGCTTTTGAATAATTAAACAGTCAAAAGTGTAAACAAATTGCAATACTTAAATTTTATTTTATTTTCATTATTTTAACATATAATTTTTATCTCCTCAGACTTTAGTGATGCAGCCCAACTGGTTGCAGATTCTCCAATAGAAGGAAATAAAGTCGCACTATTGGAGACATTCAGAAAACCTGCCATTGTTGTCAATGAACTGAACATTGATATGCTGTCTGAGGATTTCTTGAAGTTGTACTTGGAGAATACATTTGCTGATGGAGAGGAGGTTATACAGGGTTGTCAGACATGGCCAGACCATCACCTTGCTGCAGTGAATTTTTCCTCTGAGCATCAGACTGGTAAGTAAATCACTGAGAATAAATCTCTTAGTTCTTTGTCCTGTAAAACACTTTTATAACCAATCTTGACATGGTCATTAATCAATAGTGGATTTTTAGTTACATCTTTTTTCCTAAATTATACATTATATGTGAATGAATCTTGTATAAAAATAAATCAACATTTAAAACCTATAAAACCATTTCTTTAAAGATTAAACGCCAATACCGACATTTCAAGCAAAGTTATTATATTTACTATCAATAAACTGCCAAAGAAGGGTGGTGGCAATGCGCAAACTTCCGTCTAATAAAGTTGCCTGACAAAACATGCATTCAAGTAAAAACCGAATTAGTACCAACTTCTAGGAATTTTATTATATTTTATTTTATTTTGCACAGCTATTAAATACAGCATAACAGCCATATATACACATACCTAGAGAATTATTATATGGTACTGGTACATATCTTTTTATTTCAAAGTAATATTGTTGACCACTTTGTGTACAGGATATTATTATAGGGCTCAGCATTAATAATTTTAATCAAGAAAATATATGAGTGGTCCGGCACCACTATCACAGCTTGAGAGCTTGTTTTTTTTTAATAAACTCAAAACTTGTATTAAAATTCTATTAATTTTTTATCAAATTTCAATATTATTATTTTTTTCTCTTCAGTTGTTGATGAGATTTTGAATGAAACAGATCACACACCTTTACCATCAGAAGATTACCACATCAAAATCAGCCATTTTTACTGCAACTTCCATGAGTTCATTGGCCAGCAGAAAAATGATTGCAGCACATCAGTGAAAAGCATTGTGAAGGCCTTTGAGCATTCCCCTTGTGAAAATAATCATCCTATCCCAATTAAACCTGTTGATACTGAAGGTGATAGCACCACTGAAGAGGATGAAGAAGATCACATTGAAGAGGATGAGGATGATAAATTAGAAGATGAAGATGATGATGATCAAACTGGAGGTGAAGGTGATAGCAATGACATTGAAAATGATGACGGAGAAGGTAACGGTTCTGGTTATAAGAATGAGCAAAGTCAGGTAATTAAAATTTGTTCGAGAGGTAGAGGATTCAGAGGTGGTAGTTGGATGACACATGGCTTGAAGAATGTTACATCTACACCAGAAGATAAATTAGAAGATGACGATGATGACTATCAAACTGGAAGTGAAGGTGATAGCAATGACTTTGAGAATGATGATGGAGAAGATACCAATTCTGGTTATAAGAATGAGCAAAATCGGGTAACTAAAACTTGTTTTAGAGGACTCAGAGGTGGTAGTTGGATGACACGTGGCAAGAAGAATAATGTCACATCGAGGCCAGAAGATATGATTCACAAAGTGAGGAATGCTGATAGTGAGCATTTACCATTATTACCTGTAAGAGGCAGAGGCAATTTTAGAGGTAATATGTGGCGAGATGGATCTCAAATGGACAATAATAATATGAGAGGAAGATCATCACATGACATGGGAAGATCTTTGTTTTCAAGACAGCGCGGTTCAGGTAACTCAAGAGGCAGGCAATCAAGAAAAGATGGAATTTTGCATATTAAGAACAGAGGTAGCTCAAACAATTGGTCAAAAGAAAGGAAAAATTCATTTGATGGCAATGAGTTTAGTGGAATGGGAATGCATAGAACTGAAGAGAAAAGAAGAGTGAGCCTCTCACTTTCCAGGGAAAGACTGGAGGATGATTATGAGCAGCCATCTTTCTTTGTTGGGGGCACTAAGCCTGATCCAAAGAGTGGATCTCAACCTTATCTAGGACCTAACCAAAGAAATACACCATCATGCTCAAGAGGTGGTCGAGGTGGCAGTTCTTATGTCTGGCAAAATGCAGGGCAGTCAAAGCAAGGCAAATTCTTAAACAAATTTAATCGACAAGAAGAAAGACTGAATGGTGATAATAATGAAAGGGCTTTTAATGAAGCAAGTCATTATGACATTTCAAAACCTTTTGTTTCAGACAATGCGTCTAAATTTGGCCAGAGCCAGGAAGCATCAGAAGAGAAAAATAAAGAACTACTAAAACAGTTGGAGGAAGAAAAAGCCAAACAACAAGACGCAAAGACTATAAGAGGCACATTAGAAATAACACTACTGCAAGCTGTATTTTTGAAACCTTCTTTCAATGATTTTAAAGATTGTATGATTCATTTTGATTCCAATGAAAAAGTATTGGTTTTATATGGAACAGACAGTGCAATAAGAGATTGCCAAATGAAGCTTATGCTGGAGATGAAAAAAATAAAAGAAGAAACTATTGCTATATCGTCTGATATGAAGTCTATACTATCAAGAGAAAAGGGTAAAAAATATATCAAAGACCTAAATTCATCAGGTCTGGATGGGGCAAAGGTGGAATTGGATGATCGCTCACTGTTGTTAGCAGCTAAAGAAGAAAACGTCTTGTCAGAGGCTGTCAAAATGCTGAAGTGTAAAGTAGATTTCATAGAATCGGTAAAGTCTGAAGTTGCTATACCTAATGATAGACTCACCAATTTAAAGTATGGCATTGAACATAGCCTGCTGGTACAAGTCACATTTGATGATAGTGGGAAGATAATTAAACTTTTAGGCATTGAAGATGATGTTCTGATGGCAAGACGAGATGTGGAGAAATTATTTGAAGAATACGGAGTCTATGAAAAGTCCTTCAATGTGGGAGAGCCAGAGGCCAGATTTTTGCATTTATGCTGTGAAGACAGAATCAAATCCGTTTTAAAATCAGTTGATGTGACTGAATTAACTTTAACTGAAACTAAAGTTTCCATTAGATATAAAGGTAGCAAGAGTGAAACACACCAAGTTCACAGAAACTTACTAGATCTAAAAAACAATGTATTATCAAAAAATTGGAACTTATTTGATGACTTCAAGAAACATGAAATTTTCTTGATAGCCAAGAGTTTAAAAAATGGACAAATGAAGGAAAAATTGGAAACATATAAATATAGGGAGAAAATTCTTGTTATCCCCAAATTTCCTGATTTAAGTGCTCAACTTCGTTCATCATCAATGAATAAAAAATCCCCAGATAAGACAAAAAGGCCAAAATCAAGTGCCAGAGATTCCAGACCAGTTCCTCAGATACAATCACAGAGACCACCTTCAGCAAATAAACTGGTCTATGATATTTCAAATACATGTCAGTTAGTAATCAAGCCATATGGAGATATCATCAAAGAAAAATCTGACATTTTGGTTTCCATCTTAGGACCAGAGATGGACATGAGAAAAACCAGAGTAGGTGGTACATTTAATAAAACCTGTCCGTCTCATTGGAAGGAACTTCAATTGGTAAAAGACAGTAATCCTGGTGCCCCTGTGCTTACTGTAAAGAACCCTAAAGGCCTAAATTGCCTGGCTGTTTGTCATGTCATTTTAGCTATCTGGAATCCAAGCTCTTCTCAGCAGCTGCTCAATGTTGCCATTCAAACTGTTTTAAATGAAGCTAAAAATCTTGGAGCTAAAACTATTTCATTTCCTGCTTTGGGATGTGGCAGAGCATTTCAGTTTCCTCCATTGAATGTAGCTCAGCAAGTTGTCACCAGTATTCGTGCCATGAATGTTGGAAGCTTTTTAAATAAAGTTACTCTTTTGGCGCCAGACAATGAATTGTTTAAAGAATTTAAATCAGAAGTTCCAAAACATTTTAATGCAGCATTGCCTAAATATAAGGCAGCTCCAACACAACCTGCACCACCTGCTCAGCTTGTAGCCAGTGATGATTCTGAAGATGAAAGTGATGACAACGAAAGTTCAGATGATGCTTTTGAAGTGAGTAATTTAAATGACACAAAAAATGCAAGTAATCCTCAATTGACTATAATAACTCTTCATGGAAATAAAACTTTTGAGGCTATGAAAAAAATAATATCACAGGATATAAGAGAACAGTGTCTACATAGTGATTACTTTAACCAAAAAATCATGAAGCATTGGCCTAGAGAATCGAGGCAAAAAATTCTAAAAGAAGCAATGAAGTTGTCAGTGTGGGCTGAACGATCAATTCACCCTAAAACCAAGCATGTTGGTTTTCAGTTAATAGGAGAAAAGCCAGCTCTTGCTCAGATTAAAGCATTTATTCATCAGGAATTTCTTGAAGAATCTAGCCATTTACCAAAGAGAAGTTTAACTTCGGATAAAGTACCTAAAAGAGGAACTGTTGATTTCATGAGGTATGCTGCAGACAGTGATGAGCTTTTCCCCTCATACTGGAGTCTTAATAAATCTAAAAAGTTTTGGAGTAATTTAAAAAATAGGATTTATGGAAAGGAGAAAAAACTTTTAGTTGAAGTTGATAAAGAAACAAAGGATGCAGTTACAAAGCTTGTTACTCAAACATTGGATATAGGTCTTGTTGGGCAGGGTAATGATGCAGCTGGAATAAATTATTCCAGTCTTAAAGTTCTTGATGTTAAAAGAGTTGAAAACGCTGAAATGTTTGAACGGTATCGAGTTCAAAGAAAAAGGCTATTTGATAAAATGGTTAGGAAAGGAAAAATCTGCCCAGATATTGGAAAACTTAAAGGCTCAAAAGGACGAGTGTGTACAACAGAGCTACTAAGTGATTCAATGAAAAAAGAACTTTACTATGAAGTGAACGAGCATTATTTGTTCCATGGTACAAAATCTGATACAATAGAAGCCCTTATTCACAATGGCCTTGACCCAAGACTTTCTAATGAAGCTACTATGTTTGGAAAAGGAATTTATGCAGCTGAGAGAGCTACTAAGTCGGATCAATACACTGGTAATATTTTTTTCTATTAAGAACTTAAAAATTTTATTTTTTATAAAATCTATAAAATTGGCATTAACCACCCCACCTGAGGAACTCCCAATTTTTAAGAACAATTTTAATTATTTTTTTCCTAAACTGGACTTTTAATCAAAATTTTATTAATAACAATCCCTGTTGATTTGATGGATTGTTAAGTAGTTCATAGCTCAAAATTATTACTCTAAATGTATTAGAGTTTCCATGTGTATTAACTTGATATGTTTTTATTAATTGATCTACTCAATAGAACTTGGAATAGTAATTTTAATATTTAAAAATGTAACGTCATGTGATACATTGTTTAGCTTCAGTATTCATCCATTTTCTGACCTTTCCTTAGTGAATAATAATTCACTTTAATACGGTACCATATTTTTTAACTATTTGGGAATCAAATAAATTCAATCAATATGCATTTCAGGCTGTATATTATGTTCCACTCAAAAAAGATTAATAAACTATAATATATTATATTAATATTATTCTTTCACTTGTAGACTCGAAACAACAAAGAACACCCAATGGTACAAAGCTGACTCTTATATTGACAAGGATGCTTCTCGGAAATGTGTTTCTTTGTGATGACAAACATAAATCTGTACAAAGCAAAGGTAAAAGCAGTGAATAGAGTAATATAAGAGTAGTGTAGACTTCATAATTACCTTTGTATTTTATTCAAGGAAAGACTAAAATTGGATTATTGTTTTAAAAACATTTCAACTTTTTGTAGATTGTGCAAATTAATAGTAATAGAAATAAAAAATGTAGGTCTATTTATTTAGGAAAATGTTTCATTGTTTGGAAATTAAATCCAAATCATCGCTCCCAAGACTTAATATGAAATAATAAAAACATTACTGGCCCATTTATTTTTAATGAATGCACTTACAAATAAACAAATTTTACAGATATTATTTTGCAATGCTGGTTTAGATACTGTATTGTTATTTTTAAAATCTTATCCACTTTAGGAAATAAGCAGATAGAGCCAAGGTTTGATTGGAGTCTCCCATTATTACAAATTAAATATTTATGATTTAAAAATCCAAATTGTTTTAAAATATTTTTATTCTCATTTCACAGGAAGCAAGAAATTAACTCGCCCTCCTTGTATGTTGTGTTCAGAAGATGTATGCAAATGTAGAGACTTAACTTTGTTTGATTCTATAATGGGAGATGGAAAGTGGCTCTTTAGAGAGTTTGTTGTCTATGAGAGTTCTCAATGCTATCCTGAATTTGTGATAACTTATACCAGAGTCTGATGAAGGCTACTTGTGCTACAGAAAGTCTTATCTGTCTCAAGCTTATTAATTTACTTTTCTTTAATATTTTTAATGATTCATATTCTAATTTGTCAGTGTCCTTAATGATAATGAGACAATATGAACATGCTTATTACAGATTAAATGGTTATTATTGGACTTATCAACTAAAATATCAGTGGCTTTTATTTTTTATCATGCAAGCTGTTAACTTACTATTTTAAAATAAATGCAACTTAAATTGTATAATTATTATTCATGGAGACTTTTGTTTGTTAATTTTTAGAAATTATAGTGGTAGCTTTTGAAAACAAACATGAAATGTAATTTAAAATGCAAATATTTTTTGCAATTCATTTTTAGAAGGCAATATATTTGAGGAGAAAAGAATGTGTTGTCAACATGACTACATGTAATAAAATAAAATGAGTAAAACAGAGTAGGGTTAAACCTGAAAAAATAAACGCCACAAAACAGCGAAAGTGTCGGCAGAAAGCCTTCGTCAGCGAGCAAAACAACAGAAAAAACGGTATAAAATAAGAAATAGCACTTAGCTGGTAAGTAGTATCTTAGGGCAGCAAAAGAAGTGTGGGTTCTATTGCTGCCCACAATAGAGCTGACGTGTTGTATGACCTCTTAGCTCATATAGAGCTGATGTGTTGTATGACCTCCTAGCCCCTGCAGAGCTGCTGTGTTCTATGAACTCCTAGCCACTGAACAGCTGATGTGTTGTATGACCTCCTAGCCACTGAACAGCCGATGTGTTGTATGACTTCCTTGCAATTGAACAGCCGATGTGTTGTATGACATCCTTGCCCTTGCAGAGCTGATGTGTTGTATTAAGACCTCTTAGCCCATGTAGACCTGATAGGCTGTATGACCTCCTAGCCACTGCAGAGCTGATGTGTTATATGACTCCTGGCCCATGCAGAGCTCATGTGTTGTATGACCTCCTAATCCGTGCAGAACTGATGTGTGGTATTAAGACCTCTTAGCCCATGTAGAGCTGATGTGTTGTATGACCTCCTAGCCCTTCAGAGCTGATGTGTTGTATTAAGACCTCTTAGCTCATGTAAAGCTGATGTGTTGTATGACCTCCTAGCCTCTGCAGAGCTGATGTGTTGTATGACCTCCTAGCCTCTGCAGAGCTGATGTGTTGTATGACCTCCTAGCCTCTGCAGAGCTGATGTGTTGTATGACCTCCTAGCCCCTTCAGAGCTGATGTGTTGTATGACCTCATAGCCTCTGCAGAGCTGATGTGTTGTATGACCTCCTAGCCCCTTCAGAGCTGATGTGTTGTATTAAGACCTCTTAGCCCATGTAGAGCTGATATGCTGTATGACCTCCTAGCCCTTGCAGAGATGCTGTGTTCTATGACATCCTAGCCACTGAACAGCTGCTGTGTTGTTTCATTCAAATAACAATAAGCGGTGAAAAGTTTCAGGTTTATTTATTTCCTGGCTTCGTTTGGATGACAGTCGAAAATACATAAGAAATAATCGCTGCTGTGGAGGATAAAATAGACGGTCCAAATATCCTAAACATTCAATTACAAAAATACAGGAACAGAACTCTGAGAGATAATATAATAATTCCATTAAAAAAAAATATAGATTCACTCCTATCTCAAAATATAACATCTTTCTAGGGGGGGGGGGGGGNNNNGGGGGGGGGGCAAAATATTTTTAGTAATGTTTTAATGTAGTTTGAATTTACTGTAGCGTATTTGTATGGTGAGCGAACGGACAGGACATCAGCTTAGTAACTTTCTCTTTATTTTCTCTTTACTTTAATACATTTTTTGTATATTTTTGTCTAAATTTTTTATCCAATCAATCCAGGGGGGGGGGGCAAGTGCCCCCCTCCTGCAGGCGCCCATGTATAACATGGACTGTCACTCACAAAAAATGTACAACATGTCTTTTTTTCAACACTCAGCCGCGGTCATGCGTGACTAGGTTAAATTCGTGAGTAAAGGGGGAATAGACAAAGGAGGAAAAACTGTATTCACTCACATAGATTTATGAACATCACGTTGTGGTCATAGTCGTAGTCAAAGAAAGACCTAGGGATAGACATTCATTCAAGTGTTAGAATTATTAAAAAATCCATAATTGGATTTTTTGCACTATTTTCATATTCAATAATACATATTTTCTTTATAATTATTATTGTTGCTGAGGAATTTTTTGTTGTTGATGATTTGTTAGTGTCCTGTTTATTCTTCCTTTTTATCGCCAACGCCTGGACTAGTGAACCGATTGTAGGAAAAAGTCAAGGAAAAAAAAAAGTCAAAGAAAAATAACAAAATATGTTTTACATAAGCTCTTGCGTGCCAGTGTTAATGAACTTATATTGTTACAATGGAATGTGGTCGGACCGAAATTTCATACAAATTCATTTGTTCTCCAATATTGTCATAATTTATATATGATATCTTATGGCCGATTTTTTGCGCTTGCTAAAAATAGGAAGAAAAAGTTGTAATTGTTTTTAATTTTTGGAGCACAACCGTGTCGCCTCGGAAAACCATTTCAATAAATGTGAGTTTTGTAAAAGTAAACAGTAAACACATATTTTTGCCATGGAAATTATTGACAGTAATAAGCGTGTTTCAACATTGTGCTTCAATGGATTTGTGTATACCAAGCATGCAGCTAACAAATCCAAAATATAGTGGAAATGTGTGCAATGATTAAATGGTCATTGTCGGGGCAGTTTGACGATAAACCTTGAGGAAGAAAATCCAGAGGTAGGCAAACCCCACATCCATGATTCAAATGAGACTCACGTTCATCTCGCCATAGGGCGCAATGTAATGAATGACCGTGCAGCAAACACACCAGAAAAACCAGCTCAGATCCATGTAAAGAAATGCCTTGCAGCAAACACTCAAAACCAGCTCAGATTCATACAGATCCTGCACTTATACCGTCTGCTGACACCTGAAAACGTACTCTACGCAAACCACATGTACCACGTCTAAGTCATGATCTTGGTGAACTGCCCATCGAGTTCACTCAGGCATTAGAACCAAATCCTGAACAGTTTCTTCTATATGATAACGGGCCAAACTGCAACAAGAGAATTTTAGTTTTTGGTGCCGGTCAAATCGTGAAAATGTTTTCAGATTCCAAAACAGTGTTCATGGATGGCAGCTTTGCTGTGGCTCCAAATATTTTCGAACAACATTACGTCATCTGTGCAAACTTTGAGGAGATAAGTGTTACTTCTATGTATGCTCTTCTTCCAAACAAGACCAATGCAACCTATGACGAATTGTTTCAATCAATAATTGACAAATGTGTTAGCTTGAACTATCATCGAGAAGACTTTCGTGGCTTACTTTGAAAAAATCCCCTTACGTGCAATTCTATCTGAGTTTGGTCTCGACATCATTAGCATAGGGTTATTTTTTATCATCCTACGCAATCCGCCTGGCGTAAAATCTACGAGTTGGACCTTACAGAAAATTGTAAAGACAATGCGGAATTTTGCTTATCTTGTGGTATGATTGACGCATTTGCCTTTTTTCCCTTTGAAAAAGTTGATGAAGGTATGCGGTTCCTTAGACCTGTCATTCTAACTAATTCACCGAAGAATCCCAGGAACTACTATTGTTTTTCGATCGCACGTCCTAAGTGGCTCCTTTGTTCTTCTTCTATAGGCCTACTAGAAAATTTCACCCAATGTTATCGAGATAATAATGGCAGACCTTTTACGATAATTTCTATCTGCTATTTCAAAAACGTAGATCTATCACAATTCCTTATTTTTAAAAATAAGCATATAAGTAGTGATGTTTATGTTTCTAACATCATTAAAAGTCTTCCGAAGATTTTTTTCTGCTACGTATACGCCTACCCAAACTTTTTTCGAGCCACTTAACTACAATTTTTTTTGCTCTTAACATGTACTTAAATTACCAAATCTAAATGATCACTAATTAAATCACTATTGTCACCAAAGGCTGATCTCTATGCTAGAGAAATACTTTAGATGTCATATGTTTTCTAATTGTTAAATGTTGGGCCTACCTTACCACTTTTTGTGCCCCTAAACAGATAATCATTTTATCTGAATTATCTAAAGAAGGATATCTTAATCGTTTTTTTTTTTTCATGTCTGTAACAGCGTTGAGTGTCTTTTTTGCAGAAATGTTATTAATCTCATAACAATATATACCCAATAGGCCTACTTTTCGCAAATAAAAAAAAAAGAAAGAAAATCTTAACTATCTCTATTTTTCAAACTGAATTTTTCATGTGTGTAAAATTATTGGGCTTCGATATTCATGGGCACACTTATGTAAATGTACCTACGTTTTGTTAGCGTCATTGATTTTCTTAATTGTTAAAAATATGTTAATTTGTAAAATAAAAAAAAAAAAAAAAAAAAAAAAAAAAAAGAATGTAACATTACATTTTCACAACTGTAATATCATTGGATTTAAAGATATTGTCAACCACGTAAACCTGTACACAACCTATGTCCTACCCCAAAATATATGTAGGCTACAAAAGAAGGTTAATTATTTATCAAAATCATTCCTTTATTCTGAGGCGTATCTTGTGCTGCCTGTGGCAACATGAAAGTAACGGCCCCTCCCTTTCTCCTGAGTTTAATGGAAATTAATTACCCTCCCCCCCTCCCCCACGGGATTGTAGCCCCTACGTACGCAAACACTCATTTTTTGCACTTCATATGGTTTGTTCTTATTTGGATAAGTGATAAGCGCATTAGTGAATGCTATTTTGCCATAGAGTTTCGCTTCACTGATTGACTTATAGGGCATTTTTTAAATTAAAAGTATTTTTAAACGTTAAGTTTTCATTGGATAACGATTGTTTATATTGGAATTGTGTAACCCATGCATGGTCAAGGGCAGGGTCGGCGCTAGACATCTTTAGGCTGTTTAAAAATAGGCAATATTAGCCTTCTGGAAAATTATGGGAAGAGTTCAGAATATATTTAAAAAACAAAACAAATTTTGCCGCCTTCGGTGGTTTGGGTGCCTTGGCGCCTGTGTGATGATCACGCATCGCACCAGCTTTGAGGTCAAAGGAAACTAAATTTTCAATAGCACCCTTTCTGTCGCTATCACGGTAACGTGAAGAGTGATACAAACTAACCTAATGTATGCGCTAAAATGCATCCCATCATTTTGAACGTGTCAACGTTTTCTAGTTAGGGGCGTATTACCACCCCTCTGCCAGACATTATCACCAGTTTCGTTCGGCGCCCTCTATCTTTTATTCCACTCCTATTAAAGTCACAGTACCGGTACATTTTAATCTAAAAGAGCGTTGGCTGTAAGTAATTACAATGATTATTTTTAAACGGACAAAATTATTATTTTCCTTTAGTTTGGTATACGTAGTTGTACTATATTATAGATACACGGAAAGAAACTAAGTTGGGGCTAAAAGCAAACCTCAGGGAGATCCATTTCCAGAATGAATTTACTGTGTATGTATGGTGGGGCAACAAAGTCAGAGATGGCCATGGGCTACCCCGCGGATAAAATTGCATGCAAGAAACTGTTCAAAACGCGTGGGCCAACCAGGGCCATAATGTCATGTCATAATGTTTTTCATAACATTACTTGCATTGTAGGCTATAGACAAAGCCGTGCCGAGGAAAAGTGGCACCCTGGGAGGACTAGGAAAACGCTTTTGGCGCCCCTGTCATTGTGAAGAGCGTTTGATTTTAGGGTTTAATTCACCTGATGGTGGCGCCAGGGGGTGATTGGCTCTTTCGCAACCCCCCTGAGTAGGTCTATATGGATAGAGGGATAGGGGGCCCTCAGTGCATCACTTTGCCCAGACCCACGCTGCTGTAAAGACGGCCCTAGGGTGGGGAGGGCTGAGGTTACACCGTCAGTTAATAACATACCCTTTTACGCAGCTGGGCTTAGAGGATGTTTTAGGTGTCTTTTTTTTTGTCCTTCCTACATTTACCATATGAATATTGCTTTTGGTCTGAGTCTGGGGAAAAGGGAAAAAATCTGGTCATACATTCAAACCATAAACTTTTATGGATGGAGTAATTTGTAAAACTTTTTTTAAATTAAAAGTCCCTTGCAAACCAACGAAAAGACAAGAAAAGCTAATAAAGGAATCAAATACATACTTGTTATATTAGCCATTAAAGTGGTTTAATTTAGTTCCATCAGGTAAATAGGCAGAGGAAGTTTTTCATTTAATGCGCTTAGCCTAATTATTCTATAACTATTAGTATATTAGGCTAATAAGGCTAATAGTAATAGTAATACTAATACTAAGGAATGACTAATACTAATACTAATACAATAAAATTAAAGACAGAGTTAAAGTATTGTAGTGTAGCATTGTAGTCTTGACTTATGCTTTTGCTTTCTAAAAAAGGTTTGCAGGGTCCACACAACGACTCTACATACACCATAACTATCATAGTCATAGTCATAGCCATATAAAACCTCGATCCATTCCTGACAATAGTGACTTTATGAGTGATTGTTTGATTTTGTAATAGTAATAGGCGGAAGAACACACTGGTAAATTCAAACAGATTGATCATTGGGCTTGGGGAACAAAAAAACTCGTGACTTGTACTTGTATATCTTACAGTATGAGCGTAACAGTCCTTACATTTACTAAGTTTTGTACTTACTTACTTTGAGAATTTGCTCTGATTGAGGGGCTCTTAAGTTAAGTATGACTAGGCCTGTCTTGAATAATAATAAAGTGAAGGCTATGATCAAATGGTATCCTCCCAAATTTTACTTAGAAACTTGGTTTCGTTTAACCAATTTCAACCAGTCCACTGATAAATTATTTACTTTTTATTCCTTTTCATAAAACTTAAATTTTGGTGGGAGCCGAAAAGTAAAAGGCACTACTCCTGGCGGGGATTATTAAAGTTAAAGAGACAATTATAAAGACAAAGAGTTCAAAGACATTAAAATCTCACAAAAATAATTTATTTACGCTCGATGACAGTCTATTTTTTATCCTCATATAATTATAATCATATCATTTCTCTTTATCATTGCTATAGAGTAGAGGCCCTAATTATTTTTGGTTCTTCCAAAGCTACAGTTTTCATTTTATTTTGTTAGCTACAAAACAAAAAAACCCAACATTTTATTGATAAAATTGAAGTCTAATTCACTAAGTTAACCTTCGTTCTTCTCTAAGTAGGCCTAGTGAATGTCAAGCTAGTTTTTCCTCTAGGGAAGCGTTATACGCAGTCGGCTGCGTATAACCCTGAGGGTTATTCACAGCCGACTGCGTATAACTCTCAGGGTTATACGCAGTCGGCTGTGAATTTAGCCAAATAAGGTTTATTACCGCTAGTTTGGCAATTAAAAAAAAAGTATTATGCGTAATGAGCTGCATGATGGGTTGTTTTGTACTAGAACTTTTCATGTGTTTAACATAAAATTTTAATTGAATTAATTTTAATTAATATTGAAATTGATGATAGCAATAGTGTTAGTATTAGTGCTATAATTAGTATTATTGCTTGTATCTTATATATTATAATTATAAGTCAAATTCTACATTTCTTAGAGTCTAAGCCTAAGTCATAGATTTTTTTAAAGGCATTTCCATGGTCTAAGTCTAGTCATGTATTTTGATTGATTAGGTTTTTAAATGTTGCTATGACCATGTGGTTAGTTTTACTGACTAATTCAGGAAATACATTCTATTTATCTTTTTTTTAATTTCATCATTTATGATTTTTTTTTTTTTTTGATGACCTAAATGTAACAGTTTTCAGCTTCCATGCAAAACTATAACTGTGTGAAAGTATTACTTACACTGCCCCCTCTACAGAACCCCTGCCCCTACAGCCTACAGCGATTTTTTTCTGCTACTCTCAACCCATGATTATTTTTATTACTGTACCAGTGAAACATGATTTTATCTGCCACAAAATTAGTTAACAACACAAAAATATATTTGATAATTATAAGTATAACAGTATTAACATTACATTGGTCAAGTTAATAATTCTTCTCATGTTTTAACATTTTTTAGCCAAAAAAAAAGTAAAACAATAAGCCTAGTTGTTGCTTCATTCTCGAGAAAAAGCATAGAAACTAACGCGTATTCATGGCTTGCCGTTGGCTGGAATTGAACTCAAGACCACCAGCTTGAGGTTTGGTCAGTTTAGACCATTTCGACCACACAGTCACCCCAATATCAATGCACCCTTATTGATTGATACTGTAACACAGGAAGAATATAGACGTCACGTGACTTGCCGACTGCGTATAACTCTCAGGGTTATACGCAGTCGGCTGCGCATAACCACTTTGTTTCCTCTAACTGATATGTCAGCTATTGTCTAGAATTCAAATGTTCCATCCAGAATTTAATTAAATGCATCATCCCCATTAAATACAAAGTACTAAAAATATTGAAATAACAGAAAATGAAAATAGTTATTACATTTTTAAAAATTAGAACATGTGATTTGTAGTCGTAGTATAAAAAAATAGTATCATTGGTTAATTAGAAAAAAAGGCACAATGCATTTGAAGTAGAAAAATAGTAGGCCTATATTATTTTAGCATGCACAATTTCTCAAACTTTAGCTACCAACCCTTAGTCTGCTAATATGCTTTGTGTTTATTTTTTATGGCATATACTATTAATAAGACTCTATAATATATTTAAACAATGATACAAGACACTCATATAAATCTTCATTTAATGAATCATTTTATTTGGGTCTATTTTATGTTAGTAAGATTAAAAAGTTCCATCTATTCATTTTACTGAATGAGTCCAGCTGCTGTTGATCACATTTACTCCTGATTTTTATAGTAGATTTTGGTTAATATGTAAGTTAATGTAACTGATTTTATTTAAAAACTACATTCTAATGTTTATTTAGGAATCCGTAAATTAGACTTTTGTTATTTTTAACAAGAATCTATGTATAGATATTTGCGTTACTTGGGTCATTGGGTTTTGAGAATATTTTCTTCTATATATATATTATTATAATATAGACCAATTAAACCATTTTTCCCCTTGAACTGCAAAGAAAACATATTTTCTAAAAAATTGTAAAAACATGTCCTTAACTTTAAAAAAATAATTGTACCATCTTAAAAATCTGCAGCATGAGTGGTTTTTGATAATTTGTTATCTTCATTAAAATTTATACAACCCCTGCCTGGCTCCTGAATTATATTATTGGCTATTGGATAATTATTAAAAGCAGTTAAGTGAGATTTAATTTTCTATGTGGCATTATAATTACTATTCACTTGTAAATGACATCTTCTGTTAGAATGCATCTACCACAACAGAAAGTCAAACATAGTTGTCAATTTCAGGTCTTATAATAATGATAAAAATAGTGTGACATCACATCTGACATTTTAAACAACACCCTCCCCACTTTTTCACAAACTATCAAACATACTTAGACCCCCCCTTTCCCGCTTCGGAGCATGACCTACTTTATGGAGGGCCCATAAAGTTTTTTCCATTTGCTCATTTGTTTCCTTTTTATTGTGGGAAAAGTTTCAATAGCAAGCTTTTTGCACCAGCAAATAATATTTTTATATTATGTTTCGGCAAATTTCAACAATTTCTTTTTTATTGCCCTGTTCAGTTTCAAGCACAAATATTTATATTTAATTTACAAAATAACAACTAATATAGTAGGAGATGTTAATTGTACAAAAAATTACATTTTCGATATCCATTTTGAGTTACAAGTAAATACTTCTCAAATGTTTTGGGTCCTGAGACCTTCTATTGTGTTTGACATAACATATGGACAACTTCTTAAACACATTAAAAGTACGACATAACTGCATTATCATTTCCCTGTGAATCTTTGTGTAGTATTTATTTTTATCATGATCAGGAAATCTTTTAATAATTATATTTTAAAAATTGCAGCAGAATTTTCAGGACGTGGCAACAAAGATTCTGCTATCATCCTTCAATGTTTATAAAAGCAAGATGAAGCTATTCCTCATGTTCCAATTCTCTACGTGTATTAATAACATTTACAATAATATTGGATAAATATTGCTAAATGAAGTTGTTGAAAAAGAAGGCTTTTGATGGCATCATTTTGGAGACAAAGGCTTTCAGACGAAGATGAGTTAGATGATGATGTTGAAGGCACTTTACACACTCAAAATATTGTGAGTTTCGAAACAGCAAAAGAACAAAATGGACAACATATATCTGAACGGGTGATGTGCCATAAAAGGGTTTCTGGAGAAGGAGTGAGGGCCACTGGGCGATTTGATTTGGAGAAAAAACTATTTCAGCTGGAAGAAGAGCTGGAACATTTGAAAGAAGAAAATAAAATATTGAAAATTGAATTAAATCGATTTCGAATGTGTAAAACTAATATACAGCCTCTGAGAGAAGCTGATCAATCTTACCCTGGTCATTCGCTCGGTCATCTGATTGATTCCGAAAAAAATCATGCTTATTTTCAACAAAAGGTAGAAGAGAGATTTATGGAATTGGAGAGACGAATAGACAAGCTTGAGAAAACAGAATCAAAACATCAACCTCAGTTAGGAAAAAAAAAGGATGAAATACTTATGAAATCTGACAAAGCAGGAGGGTTTATTGAACAAAAAAGAATTACATATCATGATAATTTTTTTGATGGAATAGGCTCTTTTCATGGCAATCAAAATCAATCAAGAAAAGAGAGACACCAAAATTGCAAAGCATCCGAAATTAAAGATACAGATCATTATAATGCAAAGCCTGTTTTGTCTAGCAATCAGGGCAGTATTGACAATATTCAAGGTAGCGTAAATAAGAATGATAAAAAACAATTTTTTAAATATGAAGGATCTTTTAAATGCGATTGCCCAGTAGCCTCTTTCTTTCATTTTTGCCTAAAGGACACAATAGAAGAATTGCTCAAATCAGTTGAAGTGACTGATTTTTTATCAAATGAAACTAAAGTCTTGATACGATTTCATGGTAGTAAATACGCAACGCACAGAGTTCTTAGAAACTTACAAGATTTAAAATATGATGTGATTTCCGAGACTTGGAATTTATTGGATGATTTCAACAGACATGAAATTTTATTGATTAAAAACAGTTTTAAAAGTGGGCAAATGAAAGAGAAAATAGATAGTTACAAATACAAGGACAAGTGTCTGGTTATTGCAGAGTTCCCCAAGTTTGTTTTTGCCTCAGAGTTTAATAAAAAATTTAATCAGACTTTTCAACTTGCTCAAATCAATATTGATTCAGTACAAGCGAAGTTAATGAAAACGCAAAGCCCGTGGTCTTTACCCGCAGACAAATTGGGTTTTGCTGGTTTGAGTACACACCATGTAATAAAGGGTGACTCTGAAAGTGAAAGTGATGACAGTGATGAGTTGCTGGATTCAAAAAATCTGGTTGATGTGAAAGCTACAAACAATGCTGTAATCAGTGTCACAACCCTAAATGGAGTTAATAGTCTAGAATCTGCTAAGAATAAGATAGTCAAAGAGATACGTGAAACTTGTCTTCATGTTGATTTTTTTAACCAACATGCCATGAATCACTGGCCTGGAGAATCTAGGAAAAAAATTCTTAAAGAAGCAATGAGGTTATCAGTCTGGGCTGAACGATCCTTTAACCCCAAAACCAAACATGTGGGATTCAAGTTGACAGGAGAAAAGCCTGCTGTTACTCAGATTAAAGCATTTATTAAACAAGAATTTCTTCAAGAATCAAAATCTTTTGTTTCAGGAAATCACTCTAAACTTTGCCAGAGCCAAGAGGCATCAGAAGATAAAAATAAAGAACAACTAATAAAACAGTTGGAGATAGAAAATGCCAAACTGCAAGATGCAAAGACTACAAGAAGCACATTAGAAATATCACTACTGCAAGCTGTATTTTTGAAACCTTCTTTCAGTGATTTTAAAGATTGTATGATTCATTTTGATCCCAATGAAAAACTATTAGTTTTGTATGGAACAGACAGTGCAATAAGAGATTGCCAAATGAAGCTTATGCTGGAGATGAAAAAAATAAAAGAAGAAACTATTGCTATATCGTCTAATATGAAGTCTATACTATCAAGAGAAAAGGGGAAAAGATATCTTGAAGACCTAAATTCATCAGGTCTGAATGGGGCAAAGGTGGAATTAGATGATAACTCACTGTTGTTAGCCGCTAAAGAAGAAAACATCTTGTCAGAGGCTGTAAAAATACTGAGGTGTAAAGTCGATTTCATAGAATTGGTGAAGTCTGAAGTTGTCATACCTCATGATAGACTCACCACTTTAAAGTACAGCATTGAACATAGCTTGCTTGTACAAGTCACATTTGATGATAGTGGGAAGATAATTAAACTGTTAGGCATTGAAGATGATGTTCTGATGGCAAGACGAGATGTGGAGAAATTATTTGAAGAATACGGAGTCTATGAAAAGTCCTTCAATGTGGGAGAGCCAGAGGCCAGATTTTTGCATCTATGTTGTGAAGACAGAATCAATTCTGTTTTAAAATCAGTTGATGTGACTGAATTAACTTTAACTGAAACTAAAATTTCCATTAGATATAAAGGTAGTAGGAGTGAAACCCACCAAGTTTACCATGACTTACTAGATCTAAAAAGCAATGTATTATCAAAAACTTGGAACTTATTTGATGATTTCAAGAAACATGAACTTTTCTTGATAGCCAATAGTTTAAAAAATGGTCAAATGAAGGAAAAATTGGAAACATACAAATATAGAGAGAAAATTCTTGTTATCTCAAAATTTCCAGATTTGACTACTCAACTTCTTTCAGCATCAAAGAACAAAAAGTTGGCAGATAAGACTAAGAGGCCTAAATCCAGGGCAAGAGATCCCAGACCATTTCCTTGGGTACAATCACCAAGCCCTTCATCAGCAAATAAACTGGTCTATGATATTTCAAATACATGTCAGTTAGTAATCAAGCCCTATGGAGACATCATCAAAGAAAAATCTGATATTTTGGTTTCTATCTTAGGACCAGAGATGGACATGAGAAAAACCAGAGTAGGTGGTACATTTAATAAAACCTGTCCCTCTCATTGGAAGGAACTTCAATTGGTAAAAGACAGTAATCCTGGTGCCCCTGTGCTTACTGTAAAGAATCCTAAAGGTCTTAATTGCCTGGCTGTATGTCATGTCATTTTAGCTATCTGGAATCCAAGCTCTTCTCAGCAGCAGCTCAATGTTGCCATTCAAACTGTTTTAAATGAAGCTAAAAATCTTGGAGCTAAAACTATTTCATTTCCTGCTTTGGGATGTGGCAGAGCATTTCAGTTTCCTCCATTGAATGTAGCTCAGCAAGTTCTTACCAGTATTCGTTCGATGAATGCTGGAAGCTTTTTAAATAAAGTTACTCTTTTGGCGCCAGACAATGAATTGTTTAAAGAATTCAAATCTGAAGCACCCAATCATTTTAATGCAAAGTTGCCCAAAAATAAGGCAGCTCCACCACAACCTGCACCACCTGCTCAGCTTTTGGGCAGTGATGATTCTGAGGATGAAAGTGATGACAGTGAAAGTTCAAGCGATACTTTTGAAGTGAGTAACTTGAATGATACGAAAAATGCAAGTGATCCCCATTTTACTATAATAATTCTTCATGGAAATAAAACTTTTGAGTCAGTAAAAAAAATAATAACACATGATATTAGAGAGCAGTGTCTACATGTTGATTACTTTAACCAAAATGTCATGAAGCATTGGTCTAGAGAATCGAGGCAAAAAATTCTAAAAGAAGCAATGAAGTTATCAGTGTGGGCTGAACGATCAATTCACCCTAAAACCAAACATGTGGGATTTCATTTAATAGGAGAAAAGCCAGCTCTTGCTCAGATCAAAGCATTTATTCATCAGGAATTTCTTGAAGAATCCGGCCATTTACCAAAGAGAAGTTTAACTTCAGATAATGTACCTAGAAGAGGAACTGTTGAGTTCATGAGGTATGCTGCTGACAGTGATGAGCTTTTCCCCTCGTACTGGACTCTAAATAAGTCTAAAAAGTTTTGGAGCAATTTAAAAAATAGGATTTATGGAAAGGAGAAAAAACTTTTAGTTGAAGTTGATAAAGAAACAAAGGATGCAGTTACAAAGCTTGTTACTCAAACATTGGATATAGGTCTTGTTGGGCAGGGTAATGATGCATTAGGAATACATTATTCCAATCTTAAAGTTCTTGATGTTAAAAGAGTTGAAAACGCTGAAATATTTGAAATTTATCGAGTTCAAAGAAAAAGGCTATTTGATAAAATGGTTAGGAAAGGAAAAATCTGCCAAGATATTGGAAAACTTAGAGGCTCAAAAGGACGAGTGTGTACAACAGAGCTACTAAGTGACTCAATGAAAAAAGAACTTTACTATGAAGTAAACGAACATTATTTGTTCCATGGAACGAAATCAGACACAATAAGTGCTCTCATTCACAATGGCCTTGACCCACGGCTTTCTAATGAAGCTGCCTTCTTTGGAAAAGGAATTTATGCAGCTGAGAGAGCTACCAAGTCGGATCAATACACCGGTAATTTATGTTCTCTTAAGTACTTTAAAATGGGATCGGTTATGAAATAAGCATCAAACCCTGTCACGCTACAGCCCATATAGGGCTTTAACCTTCCTCACCATTTTCTTCCACTCATGCTTATGCTTTTTTTTTCCATGCTTGAAGTCCCAGATATTTTCAACATCGTCTTTCCATCTAGGGTAAGCTTAGGTTTTCTTTTGCTCCTCTGTTATTTGGAATTTTTCTAAGAGTCCCGCCCAGTGCAGTCTACCCTTTTTTACTTCTGCTTTTAGAGTGGGATCCTGGTATAGTCCATACAAACATTTCCCTTCATACCTCTTTACACCTGCCAAAATCCCAACTTTTAGTTTAAGAACAATGTGTATTTTATTTGCTAGACTGCAGTTTTAATCAAAATTTTTATAATGAGAACCTCTGTTGATTTGATGGATTGTTAAGTAGTTAAAGGCTCAAAATTATTACTCTAAATGTATGATAGTTTCCATGTGTTTTAATTTGACATTTTTGATTAATTGATCTAATAAAAAAACTCAATAGAACTTGGAATGGGTAATTTTAATATTTAACAATTTAATGCAATTTGATAAATTATTGAGCTTCAGTATTCTTTCCATTTGCTGCCTTTTCACTAGTGAGTATTAGTTCACTTTAAGAGGGTACCATATTATTGAACTATTTGGGAGTCAAATAAATTCAGTTAACTTGTATAATTCTGGCCTTATGCTTATGCTTATGGTATATTATTTGTCATTTAATTAAAAAAATGACTAAAACATATATTATTATTCTTTCAATTGTAGATCTGAAGCACCAAAGAACACCCAATGGTACAAAGCTGACTCTTATATTGACAAGGATGCTTATGGGGAATGTGTTTCTTTGTGATGGAAATCATAAATCTGTACAAGGCAAAGGTAAAAGCAGTGTATAGTATGATATCAAGTATCATAATTGCCATAGTATTTTATTTTAATAAAGGCTCAAATAGGATTCGCTTCTAACAATATTTCAACATATTTTAGTTTGTGAATATCAATATTATCAATAGGGTTAAAAAATGTAGGTCTATTTATTAAGTGCAATGTTTCATTTTTGGAAGTGAAATCCAAAATATCTCTCATAAGACTTCTTGTGAAACATTTCAAACCAGATTCAAATCAAGAAAACACTGCCTGGACCATTTACAATGTGTCCTACTTACAAATAACTTAATTTTAGAGATTTTTCCCAATGTTTGTTTAGTTACCTAACTGTTATTTTGAAAATCTTATCTACATTAGCAAAAAAACGGGGTGAGACAGGACTCATTTAGCACCTGCCAGTGCAGCTCTCCCAACCCCTCCTCCCCCACTAGTGGGCAGAGAGTGGCATGCAAAAAACCTATGTGTAATTTGGAAACAATGTTTCTAGTGACTTCAAATTTTTATTGCCTAGTACCTCTTTAATATGAGTTATTTTCTGATAAGTTTCAATGACCGTAGTTTCTTTCTAGTTATTTCATCATTGCTGTTTTAATGGGTCTCTTCACTGTAAAGATTGCTTTTACACAGTTGCATTGTTGGTTATTTTCTTGAGCTTTCCTGTGGGGTTCAGATTTCCTTATATACAGCTTGATTGCAGTCTCCCAATATTACAAATTAAATATTTATAGTTTCAAAAATATTTTTGCTCTTATTTCACAGGAAGCAAGAAATTGTCTCGCCCCCCTTGTATGTCATGTTTGGAAGATTTCTGCAAATGTAGAGACCAAACTTTGTTTGATTCTGTGATGGGAGATGGCAAGTGGCTTTTCAGAGAGTTTGTTGTCTACGAGAGTTCTCAATGCTATCCTGAATATGTGATAACTTATACCAGAGTCTGATGTACTTGTGCTTAAGAAAAGCTCATTACTTTTATTTGATATTTCTAAAGATTCATATTCACATCAGTCAGTGTCCGTAATCATGAATAATGAGAAGGAAATAGTGAATCAAGTTTTTTTGAAGCTTAAAATGAAAAGACAGGCCAATGAAAGGAGAACTCTCCAACATAGATGTTAAAGGCATGAACTTGGTAGTTTTTTGTTTTTTTTAAATTTTATGAACCAATGGATTTTCAGCATTACCCAATAATAAATAATGGAATTATTGTTGCTATTTAAGCTGTGTACAAATACAAGTCATTTGTGTCTGACAAAATCATCTTTTAAAAAAAAAATGTTTTTATTATCATAATCAATCAAATTTATGGGTTGCTCACTTCACTTATTGGCTGGCCATATTATGATCATTGCGATTGATGGAAAGCCTGTTTAAGTCCATAGCTGTAAACGTTTGATTGAAAAATATTTTATTAACCATTCTATTTCAATTTTTAAGTTGTAGAAATAGGAGTTAACAAAATTTTAGAAATGCATTCATCTTTAAATAACTCAATTTAATTTAATGAAACATTGATGAATTGATGTCTAATAATATTTTCCCATCAGCATTGCCAAATATATATATTTGTAAAAATATTAAGATACCTCAACAAACTTTGTTTTCTGGGAGATGACAGAGAAAGACATCTTCTCAAATTGACTTGTAGCAATGATAAAAATGTGGAACAGAAACATTAAATATTATGCTTGATTGGAATGTTTCCACCACTTCTACTCATTTCTGTTTAAAACAATTCATTTTATTAGTGAAAACTAATTTTAACTTATTTGATAAGTGAAAATTAAAAATGTGTAAATGAATAAATGGAAAAGAGGTGATTGTAGAAAATTTTCAGCGCCGGTATCTGTGTAATTTTATCAGCCGGTATAATTCCTTCTTGGGTGCTGGGTGGCCGAGTGCTCTAAATTGAGCAAGCAAATCTCAAGTTGGTGGTCTGGAGTTCAGTTCCAGACAAAACCTAGTCAAACATCACCAGCACCCTGGGTGGAGGGGACCCTTTAACGTTGGATGGCAAATCATCTAAGAGAAGGGAACTCTGAATTCAAACCCGGAGATGGAGTCCCAAAAGGCGGATAACATCGGTACAATGAAACATTCTGACTCCTCCTGCAACGCCACTGGTGTCAAGCTGTATCATTGACATGATGTTCGCTTGGGTTGTCCAGCGGCGTGGAAAGAGGTGATTTGCTGCTGGGTACCAGCTTATAATCCTTGAAGAATAATCCCAGGCCTTGTGGATTTCGTCCCTTGAAGCCCACACCATCGTCACATTGTGACAGAAGGATGCCAGCAAACTTTCTTCAAACAGTATAATTTTATCATTTTAATTAAAAAATTAATTTGTTCAGAAATTCTTTATTGACCAAATGATATAGGAAATCACATCATCTGTCGCAACAAAGTCAACAAAAAAAAATAAATATGAAGGCCTACATCTAAAAACCAAATTAAAAAGAAACCACACAACCACTTCTTTTAATATTAGTATTTAAAATACTTAAATTTTAATACCAGGATCCATTATAATCAGAATCGGTATCTCTTTTCATACTGATATCTTTTTGTATTAACACAAGAGAATAACAAAACCTCTACTCTAGTGTCTAGACTTATTGACGACAACAAGACTATCTGGGGTATATATTCAAATTAATCATGTAGCCAACTTCCTTCCTAGGAGGATTTCACAATTAACAAATTGTTAATTATCCGTTGTTTATTATTATATTGTCTACTTAAGAAGACCTCTAGTTGAAACATCAGTTTAATCGTACTGTCTTTTTTTCAAGCCTAAATATTATCTTCTTCAACTTTTTATTTACTTTAAAATTAACATACAGCAGTCTTAGGAAATTGTTTATCATAATATAACAAAAATCCATTGACCACAATTCTTCACAGCACTGTCTTAATACAATTTCCCTGATATTCCACATGCTGGAAAATATCAACATCACATCCAAAAAATTACCTGCCAAAAATATTCAAGAGGAAATAACCACTCACAACACAGCGTTAAAAAATGTATCCATAAAATGTTTTCAAAACTCTTAATATCCTATTATTATATTGTGATAGATATCCGCTATGTGAAATGTAACAAAACAACGCACTACCTTATTTCAAAGTATACATACATAGTATCAGCATAATCAACAAAAATCATACCAAGATAAATGTGTAATAATTTCATTCGCAAAATAACAGGACTGACCAAAAATAATTCATGGGTGAAAAACCCACAACAGCATACCAACCAGGTGGGTAGCCCTTCCCTACTTGAACTCTCCTACTTAAAGATGATGTATGTGTCGCTTATCTGTTTGAATTTATATTAAGTATGCAAATCTTTACCCAAATCTCCCCTCTCAATTACAATGTGTTTCAATCTACTTTGGCCTTTTGACACACAGTCAACCAACAAAAGTGGCATGTTTTATTAGTTTTAAATCAACTGTTCTGACTTCACAGTCAAATTCATTACATATTGTAATACTTAAATTTAAATGTTAAAAGAATGTTTAAAGCTCAAAATCATCGTAGGAACCAACAAACCAAGAGCAATCAGCACGCTCTGCACAGTAGGCCTAATAATAATTATTATTTATTATTGGTACGGGTAAAATTAAAACTTCACCCTCAACTCATGAAAAACACCTCAACATTTTCAACAATTTTTAAGTCTGATCCACCCCGGCTGTCAGACTTTGAGCACCCCCCGCTCTCGTTACCTGTACATCTTAAATCAAACACATCATAAACATGAAAAATATATTTTTTCGCTCCTACTCCCACAACAGTAAAAAAAACCTCAACATATTCCACGTTTTCTACATAATCAAGAAGATAACAAATGTTAGCCACATTAATATGGCATGAGTCCATCTCAGACTTGCACCGACACGGCTCTCAACCCTTGAGCAACCAGTGTCACCCACAACAAAATACTCACTGGACTACGACCCTTGTAGCTCCACCTAAGGTCATCCACAATGACCTCTACCTTGTTTAATCTGCGTACCCTTCTTGAGACTGCCTAAGACAAGCAAAATCAAAATCACCCTCTTACAATATCAAAACCCTCATCTTGTACACTATCAAAAGCTACATCGTGTATCGGGTACATTATCAAAAGCAACATCATGTAGGCCCTATCGGGTACATTATAAAAGCCACACCTTTTACATTATCAAAGGCCATATCTTGTACACTCCAAATCATCCTGTTTTTCCACATCTAGTTACCTTCTTGATATTGTCCTCTCAACTGCACTTTAAAACTCATCAAAAACCTATTCCATTTCGTAGACCAACCTAACCTCTTCCACTACGCTGACAAACTTAGCCTCTCTCAATTCGGGGGATGGTCTAACCTCTTCCACTACGCTGACAAACTTAGCCTCTCTCAATTCGGGGGATGGTCTAACCTCTTCCACTACGCGGACAAACTTAGTCTCTCTCAGTTCGGGGGATGGTCTAACCTCTTCCACTACGCTGACAAACTTAGCCTCTCTCAATTCGGGGGATGGTCTAACCTCTTCCACTACGCTGACAAACTTAGCCTCTCTCAATTCGGGGGATGGTCTAACCTCTTCCACTACGCTGACAAACTTAGTCTCTCTCAGTTCGGGGGATGGTCTAACCTCTTCCACTACGCTGACAAACTTAGCCTCTCTCAATTCGGGGGATGGTCTAACTTCTTCCACTACGGGGAACATAACATCTTCCTCAATGGGGAACAATCAAACATCTTCATCTACGGGGAACAATATAACCTTTTCATCTACGGTGGTGTTCTTACTTAAAGTAAGCACCAATTCAAGTCTGCAGAAGAGATAGCTCATTACTTGATAGACATTTTTTACACTGCTTAATGCACAAGCTTAAAAAAAAATAAGTTCTTTTTGGCACCCAATAGTAAAAGTTTAAAATTAAAAGGCAACATCTTTACAAATCCCTTCAGATTTTAATTGGATAAATTTGAAAAACTAACTTGACTATTTATCTGAATGATTTTTATAGTGTCCCCATCATAGTGAAATCTATAATGACCCCGCGTGGTATGGGAATCCTATTGTATTTTAGTTGATAAACCACCAGCTTGAATATCATCTGAAACGGGATTGGCCCCAAATTCAATGCTTACAATACTACTTATAAATCTAGTTTTTAAAGGTAGAATTAAACGAAAAAATGTAACTTGCCCTTTTTAGTGAAGTGTTTTTTAACCTAAATTTTCTCGTCTGCTGATAACGCTTAAGAAGTTGATTTTTTTTCTTCAGAAAATAAACCCGAGAAAAGCCGGGTATTTTTAGCTAGTAATTTAAGTATTAGGACATGTACCAGTATTAATTCTACGAAACTTTAAACGGATACACTGATAACTCTTATCTTGCCATACACTGTCAGTGTCAGTAAGTTGATTTTCATATTAGTATCGTTTATCTGGAAGACATTTGCTCCATAAATCCACGGGAAACACTGGATAATTTTGTATTTATTTACATTAAATTTTAAAACACACCTGCTGATTTTTTTGTGAGTAAAATAAGTAAAATAAAACATTGTATTCCGTTTTATTAAATTAAATAATTTAAATTTCTATAATTATACAGTGAATGTGTGTGTATATATATATATATATATATATATATATATATATATATATATATATATATATATATATATATATATATATATATTATTATAATAAATATTTTATATTTATATAATTATATAGTGTATGTGTGTGTATATATATATATATATATATATATATATATATATATATATATATATATATATATATATATATATAGGTCTACCAATTAATTTAATTTAAATAATAGCGAAAAAAAGAAAAGGTTAATTAAGTCGCAAGGCATAATCAAAATTTGAATCCGATTTTTTAAAACGTTTCAGGCGTCATGTCATTGAAACAATTTTATCTGAAGTTTAACTAAACGGGGAAGAATATATATTTAAAAAGTTGAGGGGAAAAGAATTATTGACTAAAAGTGTTTTCAGATGGTCTTAGGCGAGCCCTGGGAAAGGTTAGCGCGACCCCCAAAGAGGTTGCGACCCACAGGCTGAGCACCGCTGACTTAATACTTACAACAGGCCTGCACAACATACGACCAACGGGCCGCATGTGGCCCGCCAGCACCCACGTTGTGGCCCGCGAAGTTACGAAATATTCTTTATTCTTATTATTTTCTTAAAAGCTCCCCCCCCTCCGACCTATTTTCTTTTGGCCTGCACAAGTCCTGTCCTATTTTCGTTTGGCCCGCACAAGTTTTTCATAATGTATTCCGCCTTATATTTTGAGTTGTGCAGGCTTGCTTTACAACTATGACCTGGGTCACCGTTATTTTCAAGTTCTATAGCAGTAGGCAGCCCAAATCTAATGACTAAGTCAACACTGCAACAAAGCAATGTAAACTAAATTTAGTTTTATCTCTCTTATCTGAATCCATGGTCTAAAATTGCACACACTTGTTGTTTGCAGCGTGAACAAGAGGAGTCTATGCGGTGTATTTAAAATCAAACCAAAAAATGTAATACGAAAAGAAAGAAAAAAAACTACTTGAGAAAATATGCGAAATAAAAACTACATTTTTGGAAAGGTAAATATTATAAAGTGAAATCTAAAAGAGTTTTTCCAGCAACTCGATTATGAATTTAACCAATTTCAACAATCATTTAAAAAAAATAATGGCATTTGTTGGTGCACCGAGTCGTTCAAGTAATAATGTTGACGAAGTCTATTTGTTCGATCAAATGCAGAATAACTGTAAAGAGAAAAATGAAAGCGATAATTCCGATAAAAAAACAATGGGCGAAGATATCAATTCACATAATTATAAACGCTTTCAAAAGATCGAGGCTCAGCTGGAAGAAATAAATAAAAAACTAGGAATTCAAGTTCAAGGAAAGCAGCTACAAGAGATTGGGATGAAACAAAGCACTTATAATAACGGACCCATAACAGATGCAAACTCAGTGACGGAGTTAGCAGACGGAGTCACAAAAGATGCTCTGGAAATGACAGCAATACATTATAGACTTTTAACCCCACTTTGTAATTCGTTTAACGAATGTATTGTTCAGTTTGATCCAATTAATAGAGCGTTAAATTTCTACGGCAAACTGAGTTTAATAAGAGATTGCCAGACTAAAGTTATGCTGGAGATGAGAAAACTGAAAGACGAAACCATTGTCGTCTCTTCTGAAATGATGACTTTATTATCAAAAGAGAGGGGCAAGAAATATCTTGACGATCTCAATTCATCAGGTCTAAATGGGGCCATTGTGGAACTGGGGAATCTCTGTGTGCTGGTTGTTGCTAAAGAAGATGTAATTTTGTCAGAAGCTGTAAAAATACTAGAAGACAAATTGAATTTCTGCCCGATAATGATACCCAAACCGGAAATACCTTTGGAAAGACTCAAAATGGCCAAACTAAAGTTGGAGTACACGCTGCTTGTTTATGTTTCATTTGATGATAACAAAAGAGAAATACAAATATCAGGCGTTAAAGAAGATGTTATGATTGCAATAAAGGAGGTGAATGAATTATTTGAGGAATATAAAGTGTATAAGAGAAGTGTTGATGTTTTGGGGCGTGGGGCTATATTTCTGGAATCTTTTCTGTCTGATCATCTGATTCCGTTGTCTTTTGGATCGGTAGAGGAAATAAAATTTCAAACGACTAAAAATGATAATGTAACAGTGCACTTGAAAGGAAACAGATTTGAAATGCAGCAGGCTCACAGTTTACTGCAATCTGAGGCAAACACAATTCAGGTGATCAGATGGGATTTATTTGATGAGTTTACAAGACACGAAGTGTGTTTGATTGCAAATAGTTTTAAAAGTGGAGTAATGAAAGCAAAGCTGGAAACGTATAAATATAAAACCAAGAGCCTTTTTATTCCTGATATGTCGAATATGTCATTTTTCATCGTATCCCAGGCAAACAAGGACAACCCATGGAACAATTCTACGAAACAGATTTCCAAGGATTCGCAAACGGTTCCTAAAATTAGTTCATCAAGTGCAGAATCAAAGTCCAAATTAGTGTTTGAAATTACTGCGGAGTGTCAGTTAGTTGTTAAATCATATGGAGACATGGTTTCCATCTTAGGTCCTGACTTAGACATGAGAAAAACTCGAGTAGGTTCCACATTCTGCTCAGCGTGTCCATCTCATTTGATGGAACTGAAAAAAGAGCAAAAGATTCAGCACGGTTCTCCTGTAGTTACTATCCAGAAACCAAGTGGCCTCAATTGCTTGGCTGTGTGCCATGTTATACTTGCTCCATGGAATCCTAAAAAATCTCTTCAGCAACTTAATGTTGCACTTGAAACTGTTTTTAAGGTAGCAAACAGTCTCGGTGCAAAGTCCGTTTCATTTCCGCCCATGGGGTGTGGCAGAGCTTTTCAGTTTCCTCCATTGAAAGTAGCACAGCAAGTTGTTGACAGTATTCGGAACGAGAAATCGGCAACAGTTTTGAATAAGGTTATTTTCTTGGCTCTTGACTCTGAACTTTACAAAGGGTTGAAAATAGAAGCAGCCAGACACTTTAAGTCAGCAGTAGTTCCACCAAAGCTAGTTACATCGGGAACTCGAAATATGGCGCATGATTCTGAAATTCAATGTGCTGACATGGATGATTGTGAATACACGGATATTGTGAATAACTTCCTGGATGTCAAGTGTGATTCAGAACTTCCATGCCATGCACGAATTACTGTAGCAACCCTAAACGGAAACACTGTCAATTCAGTTAAGGAAATTATCACTGATGATATACGAAAGCAGTGTCTACACACAGAACCCATAAATCCAAGATTGATGGAGCATTGTCCCAGAGAGTCTTGGCTTAGCATTCTCCGAGAAGCTATCAAACTGTCGGTCTGCTTGAAGCCGTCGAATCAACCCCATGCTAATCAGGGTGAATTTCATTTGATTGGTGAAAAACATTCTGTTGCAGAGTTAACATTATTTATAAAACACGAATACCTTGAAAGATTCACTCGTGTAAAAAAGAACACGTTGACATCAGGTAGCATTCCAAAAAGAGGAACCGTGGAATTTATGACATACGCCGCTGAGAGCTATGAAAGTTTTCCCTCGTATTGGAGTCTGAGCAAATCGCAGTCAGCTTTTTGGAAGATTTTCCAGGTCAAACCTTCTAATGAAAATAGAAATATTTTGGTAGACGTTGACGAAGAAACAAAGGATGCCATCACAAAATTCGTCACTCAAACGTCAGATTTACATCTTGTTGGCCTTGGTAATGATGCAATGGGTATAAAATACTCTCACCTCAAAGTCACCGATGTCAAAAGAGTCGAAAACCAGGAACTTTTTGAAAAATATCGTTTTGAGAGGAAAATCCTATTGCAGAAAATGGCAAGTAGAGGACATGCCTGTGAAGATATTGGGAAAATTCCCGGGTCAAAAGGAAGAGTTGCCACCTCTGAGCTGCTCAGTGAGTCGATGAAGAAAGAACTTTACCATGAAGTTAATGAGCATTATTTATTTCACGGAACCAAATCTGATGCCATTCAAAACATCATCCATAACGGTCTAGATCCAAGGCTTTCTAATGAAGAGGCGATGTTCGGGAAAGGTATTTACGCCACTGAGAAAATGACAAAGTCGGACCAATACGCAGGTAATTGAAATTACATTAAGTCTGTTTTTTTTTTCCTGCTATGTCAAAAATTAGAAACTTTTGGTACCTTATTTAATGTTAAATGCGAGACAATATATTATAAAGAAAATTATTATTACAAATTTATTAATGATCTCAGAATCTCAGCTAAAATTGGGAGATTTATGACGTTTATATTCATCACACAACTCAACGATATTAAAATTTGTATATTTTATGCAGTAAATTGCGTAGTCAAATGTTCACCTGAATTCATCAAGGCTGAAAGAAAACATTTGATTTGAATATAAAATTCTACGATTACTTTTATGCTTGTTTTCATGAAGTGCAAATAAATTTGATGAGACGGATTTAAAAATAAAGCTTTACATCAATTAAATTGTAATCAATCAAATGAAATGACGCATACGCAAACTTGAACTCCACAGCATACAGGGTGGCCCAAAAAATGCGATAACATCGCTTTATTGTCGGAAGCATAAACGAAGCGCCAATGCTTACCAACAAGTCGTTGAAAAGCAGTTAGAGTTGGGGAGGGAAGTAGGTTTAACATGTTTTCTGATTAGCGTTATAGTTCCCGTACACCTGTCAATGATAAAACATTATATGAAGTCAATTGAAAAACCATTTGTTTACAAGATGATCTCACTCTTTCTGGGCCACCCGGTATGTTTCATAGTAAAACTTCGTCATTCATCTGGTATAGAGGACTACTCAAAAGCATATGTTTCATAGTAAAACTTCGTCATTCAACTTCTATAGAGGACTCAGAGAAAACACAAAGTCTAGCCTCATTATATAAACTAATTTTGCCTATTTTAAATCATTAATTATATATTTGTTAAACAAAGCAGATAGGGCTGTTATTCTTATCTTCTGAATCGAGTGATGGGGCATTAATATGGCATTGATAGATCGCTGATAGGGCATTGATAGGTCATTGATAGATCACTGATAGGGCATCAGATCATTGATATAGCACTGATATGACTTTGATATGGCTCTAATATCACTTTTATCTATTTCATTAAGATCATTGATAGAGCATCAAATTGATATGACACTGACATGGCACTGATATAGCTTTGATATGGCTTTAATATGGCTTTGAAATAGCATTGAATGGGCATCAGATTACTGATAAGGCTTTGATATATGACTTTGATACTTCTTCTCTTCTTCTTCTTTATTTTAAGGGCCCACGATCAATGAATTGATCATTCTGGCTCCTATGTTTCAGAGAGGTTTGCGATGTTACTGTCCATGGGTTTCAATGGGATACTTCACTGGTTGCAAGGGCGACTCAGCAGTGGTGTTATGAACTGGGGGTTGGAATACAGGAGGCAATAGACACAAATGTATCGAGTGTAGCCGCCTCAACTGTTGCTTTTGGAAGCTTGTTCCAGTCCCCTATTGTCTTCGGCAGGAATGAGGAGCTTCTGTACTTCGTTCTTGTTTTTACCAGCCGGAACTGTTTGTCGTGACTTCGTCGCAGTCTGGGGGGAAGATTAACGAGTTTCTGTTTGATTCCGGAGCAGTGCACCAGTCCATTTGTTATCTTGTACAACATGGTGAGCCTGGATAGTCGTCGTCGTTCTTCCAATGTCGACCAGCCCAGTGTTTCCAGCATGCTGCCAACACTCGAGGTGCTTCTGTAGCGGTTCATGACAAAGCGTGCTGCCCGTCGCTGGACCGCCTCCAACCTGTCTATGCTTTTCTGGGTAAATGGGTCCCAGACTGTAGAAGCATACTCTAAAATAGGTCGGACAAAGGCTTTATAGGCTTTTTCTTTCACGCTTGAGTTGCCGATCTTCAGATTGCGCCTTAGGAACCCCAGGGTCTTGTTTGCCCGGTTGCACACACTGTTAATGTGCTCGTCCCAGCGGACCTCTCTTTGGATGGTAACACCCAAGTACTTAACGGAGGAAACTGGCTCAAGAATATGGCCATGCAGTTCGTAAGAGTGGTTTAGAGGGAACCTGCTTCTGGAGACTGACAGGGTTTGGCACTTGACGGGATGAAATTCCATGTCCCAGCTTATCTCCCACTCAGCTAACCGATTGAGGTCTTGTTGAAGCTGGCTCTGGTCAGAGCTGTTGACCATTGTCCTATATACCGCCGTGTCGTCTGCGAACAGTCTTGCTTGAGAGGTCAGCTTAGATATGGCTCTAACATGACTTAAGCATGTCTATAATATGACTTTGGTATTGCTCTAATATGACTTTGATATGACTTTGATGTGGCTCTAATATGAGTTTGATATGGCTCTAATATGACTTTGAAAGTACTTTGGGTTTATATGGAGGGATTGTACTTGTAATAAATATTTATTTTTCTTATTTAGACTCTAAATCCAAGCGTGCACCAAATGGCTCAAGCCTGAATGTTATATTGTCAAGAATACTTCTTGGGAACGTGTTCATTTGTGATAGCAATCATAAATCTGTACAAAGCAAAGGTATTGCATACAAGAAGTGCTCAGACTAATTAGTAAAAGTAATAGATCTATTAAGACTCATTTCCACAAGGTGGAGCCTTAAACCAACTGAAGGTTAAAGATAAGGGCTTCATTTTGACTTGCCAATAACAAAAATAAATGTGCTGTAGATTCACTATAATGCAATATTTCAATAATTGAATATCTTTCTTAGCACCTAAATCAGTATTTAAAAGACGTGCTTGAAAAAAGAAATCATACTCAAGCAAACACTTAAAAAAAAAAGAAGATAAAGTTAAATAATATAATTTAATTCCGTGTCTGTTAAGATCTCTTGTAAGGATTTTATCGTAACTTTTGCCACTGGATTCTTTAGATGGAATTGTTTTATTTTTCAGACAGCAAAAAGCTGATTCGACCTCCATGCACGTCATGTTTAGAAGATGTTTGTAGCTGTGACAATCAGACACTGTTTGATTCTGTGCTAGGGGATGGAAGGTGGATGTTTAGAGAGTTTGTCATCTATGACAAACACAGGTGCTATCCTGAGTATGTGATAACGTATCAGAGAGTTTAAAATTCTACTTTGCTCAGTGCATAAAACCCATTCACAAACATCGCTGCTAGATTCTTTTTTTTTTATTGTCAAGAAATATTGATAACGCTTTCTTTATGCTAACATATTATATGTTTCGCATTTTCTTGACTATAACGAAGTGCTTCATCATTTTGTACAGCTCGATTTTTCTTTTATTTAATGTATAATATTTTGTTATAATTGAAATATATTGGAATAAGCAAATATTTGGATGACGTAAGTGACATTTTAAGTACACTTTTAAGTATAATAAAAATTCTGTAGGTATGTATGTGTATGTGGCAAGGTGCTACTTAATAGTAAAAAGGTTACACATGCTCCAAGTTTCACTGAGATAGTTGTGGAGGAGCCCTAGGCTAAACTATAGCACGCACACACTGAGAAGCAGACAAAAACATTATATGATGTAATTTTTTTTTTATTAAGCAATGGATTTAAATGGAATGTTTTATAATATCCATAGTTGAGTTCATCCTATTTTGTTTGTAGGAGTCGCACATGCAGTACAGACCTATGTTATTATCAACGTGTGTCATTTCATCGTCACTGATGAATTCAAGATTTTTTATTTTCTTTGTTGTTTATTTTAATACAAGTAATTGTGTGCGTTTGCTAATTTTTGGTGGGATCTTTCCTAAAGAAGAGAGTTGGATTTTAAAAAATCTACTTTCCTATTACTTCACATTAAAAAAACCAACAACAAAGAATTTAGAACAATATAATTTCAATATTTCTTTGGTTATCTTACTTTTAGGACTTTTCGTTTGTACGTTCTCTCAGAAGTTTAAATTAAAAAAAAAATAAGACGTTCATATTGTTGATCGTACACTTTTGATCTCCTTATGGTTCACTGAGTGTTTGTTAAATCTATGCATAATTACCTGTTAAAATTTTCTTTCACATACCGGGTTCTGTAGAATATAAATTGTTATCTGTCTTGCTTGGATTTTTAAATGAAATTTAAAAAGTAAAAAAAAAAAAAAGATACTTTGTTTGTGGGGTATTTTTCCCAGATCAAAATTTAAAAAAACCCACCAGATTATTTGATCATTTCTGAGTCAATACATTTTTATTGCAAAGTGGCAACCATAAAACAGTTTGAGTTTCCTTTTATTTTGTAAATGACTGAAAGCGAGATTTGAAAGTATAAACTTAAAAGCTTAATAAAAATTAAAACCTTAACATTGCGTCAGTTTACCTTGGAAGTGTTAAACTTTTAACTCAGTTATTATTTTAAATAAAATGTTCACGCAGCAATAAGCACAATCTAAACGTTTATATCATAGCTTAAAAGTCAGTGGCTCATCTCTTCTCATGATAACTTTTTGATGGCATCCCTAAAAATGCCACCTCGCACCACTTATGAAAGATTATTGCTTCTGCTAAACGACGATCTTGTTCCCCATCGCGTTCCAGAAATTCACGTTACTTCCATGTAAGTCCTACGAGCCATTACGCTAAAGTCCTAATGAACTGAAATACTGGTGGCTCTTCCAACATGAAAAAAAAAACCCTTTAAGAATATCTCCTCGTTTTCTAGGCCGTATAAAGGCTTACTGTTAAAATGCTGGTCCTCAAAGTTAGCCTCTCTCTCTCTCTCTATGGTTGCTCCCCAGATCGATACCTTAATATTACTTATGGCTCTACATTGTCTTTTTCAATGTTGACAACTTTAACAAGAGCTCTCATAAAGGTAACACCAGCACTTGCTATTCATTATTATAGTTCATCTCTATTCAAAATCTTTGTTACAAAACAATCGGAGTTCAAACAAATAATTCTTTCCATGCGAAGACTCACTTCAACCCAAACTCTCTCTACACACTCCATAACAAAACTTCTGGGAACTAAACATGAACCTCTGGTCAAGTAACGCTGCCTCGAGCTCATACACATTAAATTCACATACATTTGATGATTGTTCTCCCTCTTAAACCAATGAAAAATTGACACAATAATACCACTCAGCCTCAGAGGCGTAGCGAGGGGGTTTGGTGCCCGGGGACAAGATCCATTTTAAAGCGCCCTTTTTCTTTTTTTCAACTCTCAAACCCATTATTTTCATCAATAAAATAATATCAAAGCACATTTTGGCGCCCCTAACTAGCTGGCGCCCGGGGACATCTGTCCCCCCCTGCCCCCACCACGCTACGCCTCTG